TGCAAGAACATTAAATTTAGAGTGACTACCATTACATTTTATTTATTTGATTTTTTTTTTTACCAGCGTATTCGCGTATCCATCAACCCAGCTTTTGACTAAATACCATCTAATTGTCTATACTGCCCAAATTATAAACATATCACGAGTTTAATAGCTAAGTTTAAAAAAATAAAAATAAATAAAAAATATTTTTTATTATTGCATACATGCAACTTTATGTATTTATATTTTAGTATAATATGTCATTATGAAATAGGCAATAAATTATACAATATCTAAACAATGTAATGTTTACAATACAAGCTACAAGACATAAATTTTAAACAATGTATTGGTATCTACCCCAAATATTATTACAATATTTATTTTACATGAAATACTTATACTATGAAATAATTATGTTGCGCGAAACATCACCAAACTTCTCAATCAACTCACTTGTTCCAGAACATCGAGTCATGTTTTGTGAATAGTTGACTTTTAATGTTACACTATTTTGAACTTATTTGATCACAGGTAATATTAACAATAATTTCATTAAAAGGGATCTATATAAATCAATATACAGTTCATGGTCTGAAAAACAAATATTTAATGAAAGCTTCCATAGAGAATATTGATTAAACAATTAAACATTACAAAGAAGTTCTTTGCATGATTTTTATAAGAGTACATCTCAAAACATTACTGTATTTCGTCAGGATGGGAAATCACTAAAAAAACATATGTTTCATGAGTCCCTTGAACTCTAAAATGAGTAGCTGGTAAGTAGAAATCAGATAGTTGGAGCACTCTGCTGACCATACTCTCTTTAGAATACCACAAGGTTGGTACTGAATCGATTTTCATGAAACTTTCATTTTATGTACTTAATTACCCTGAATAATCCAATGAAAGTTTTATTTAGTCCAAATAATAGATGGGAATACCCAAACTGTTATTTTAATGATTGAAAAAAATTAATGTAGAAGAAGAAGAAAAATAAATTTTATTTTGGGACTATGTCCCCTTGGGATAACTACGATCTACAATTTAATGACTATTGTCTGGCATTAATAATAAATTAAATTACATGATTGTCTAGATCTAAAATTACAATAAAGAAAAGGAACTGTTAGATATATGAAACCATGGATAAATTCAGATTTCTGTCAGATAACATTAATGCGACTGATAGATCTGAAAAAACGAGACATTATTTTACACATATTCGGAAATTGATTACTGAGGAGATGGACAAATAAATTATGTTTAAATGAGGTGAAGGATGATGATTTGCATATGGAGGTTGGTAGGGAATTCCAAAACAAGGTAGTATGCATGACAAAAGATTTTTTGAATGGACAGAGGAACAAGGAGTAAACAAATCGAGAATGTAAGAGGGTTTCTTGGTTGAAAAGGTTCGAAAAAGGAATACACTCAGGAAGTATTGCCATTGGAAGACTGGATAGAGCCACTTCAACTTGGCATACCAACTGGAGACGTAGGAGCGCCTGGGGACTCCAAAAATAAATGTAAATGAAAATGTTAAATCAAAGTGTGTAATTTTGAGCAATGGTGTGGGAGAGAAACCATGAGCATCGCCTAATATATTACGGAGGTCCATAACCGTATAGAATACTTCTCATCTGATGTGTAAGGAAATAGATATGGATTAACTAACACTCATATCAGATTTCTCTTCTGAGCACCATTATGACATTTCCCCTCTCAACGATACGATGGTCGTGAACTACCGCCCATTACACACATCAGGTACTTCAGATACACTTTTTTTTTAGTTAATCCCAATATTCAGTAATCCTAATATTTTCCAATTCCATTTTCAGACCTCCTTACTCGTAACCACAATACTTTTTCTCGCTATAGATATATTTCACAAATAGGTAAATGAAAGATATAACAATAGTGTAACGTAAAAGGGCCCTTATGTGGTTTATAAGTATTAATGAGCCAGTATAATGACTATCTGAAGAGTATTTGTTAACAATTGTATTAATATTTATGGCATTTAAGCCACATTTAATAATATTTCTTCTTCAATAAAATTGACTCCCTAAGGGGTGCTGTTTAGATAACAGCAGGGAAAAAAAATATTATGATAAATCTGATTAAACTCAATGGCCTCCTTCAATGTTATTTTATCATTTGGAAGAGTATTGCATGCTGTTTCAAGCAATATATGGTTGTATTCTGAGATATTATAGCAATTTTTACTTGTATATATAACTGGTAAATTAATTTTTTATGTAATGTAGCTCTTCAAACTCAAAATTTCATCTGTAAGGTTTTTTTTTCAATAATATATGGTTGTATTGTGAGAGAGATTTTAGCTAAAGGTATTTTCGATACCGAGTAGCACACTATTTCCGCATCACTCAAAAACTCATTTGACTTACATTTTAATAAATTTCTTATAACTCAACGTTCCACAAATATTATTTCATAGTCTGAGAGAAAATTCCAGGCTCTTTTCAGTGATACATGGTTATAATAGGACATTTGAAGAGAGATTTAAGTAATTTTCACTTGTATTTGTAACTGGTAAATTAAAATTTACTATATTTGGTTTAAAGTGTAATTAAACTCTTCAAACTCAAAAGCCCACTAATATCATGTTTGCATTTGGTAGAGAATTTTATGCTGTTTTCATTAATATATGGTAGTATAGGGATATTTGGAGAGAGATTTTAGCTAGAGGTAGTTTTAGATATTTTTATCACTATTTTGAAAATTTATATTAATACTAAAACTTATGGTATCAGCAGATTCTGTAATAAATTTATGATAAATGAATAAATTTCGAAAGCTCTTGGTAAATAAATATTCTTTTTTTTTTTTTATCTATTTATTGAATAATAATACAATCAGCCACTAGGTAAATAAATATTGGTTTTACAAACGAAAACCAAACAGGTACATGCTTGTTTTGAGCCCAAAATGTCTTCCCAACTTCAAATATTTCAAAAGTTTAAAAGCCCATAATTCTGAAAGTAATAGTTAGAATTGGCTAAAATTTGGTATTTTTTTAAAAATGTATAATTACTTAATATCTACGAATTTTCATTAAGTTCTGAGGTGGGTGTGTCGCGGGCCCTGGATGCTTTGGAATGGTATGACCCCACTATTAATATGACCCCCCTTAGATGTGACCAATTGTAATATATCTCATTAAAGAATTCAAGATGAGACAACCAGACCAAGAAAAGAACCTTCTAGAATAGTGAATAATAATGCATCATTCTCCGAACTACTAGGAGATAAGAACCTAACTAATAAATGTGAAGCCCTGCCGCAGCAACTACCCCAACCCCAACCTCAATATCCTGTTCTTCCTAATATACCTAACCATCAACAACCTCAAAGTCCTCTTCTCTCAAATGCCACAGATCTCACCAGTTTGTTGTCATTATTCCTCACTGAATTCAAATCAATGGTTATCCTACTCATATCACTCCTTACAAATCTTATACCTCACCTCATCCCTCCTGTAAAAAATCCTTAAATGACTCCCATCAAACACATATCTATTCTCCTTTGGAATACGAATGGTGTTAGAAATCACGTTGACGAACTTTTGATCACTTGATTACGTTGATGAACAGCTTTCCTACTAGACAAGAACATTGACCTAGCCCTGATTACAGAAACTCGGCTGACCAGAAAACAACTTTTAAAAATTCCACTGTACATAATATATTGTACTGACCATCCTGCCGGTAAAGCACATGCCGGTACTGCTGTCATCGTATACCAATCCCTCTCTCATCACTTACTCCCATTACCTACTTATGATTTCCTAAAATCAACCACTATCGCACTATCGTAATCAAAACCTTCTCCTTTCCGGTTATCCTTGCATCAGCATATTGCCATCCTAATAGATCCACATCCCAAGTCCTGTTCACTTCTCTCCTCAACTCCTAAGATCATCACTTCATCCTGGGAGCAGACTTAAAATGCTGTGCATCAAGAATGGGGCTCAAGAACCACGGTTTCTTATGGCAGAACATTGCTGTCTTTAATCAATTCCCAATGTTTCAGCCTCCTTCCACCCAACTCACCTACCTCTACTGGCCCACTGATCTTAACCGCAATCCTGATATCCTTGAATTTTTCATCCACAGTGATTTAGGTCCCCTCAATCATTCCCTCACCCGTCTTGAAGAACTTTCCCCAGATTATAGAATAGAATAGAATAGAAAATAATTTTATTCTGGGACGAAGTCCCTTCAGAATAACAAAAAAGTACAGAAATTAAAATTTTACATCTGGTCAGATAAAAACAAACATAAAAAGTAAAGATAAAGATTATAGTCCATTAATGGTTCAATTATCAATAGATCCTATTCCTAGAGCCCCTCCACCATCCTTAAACAGAGGCCCAGTCAACTGGAATCAAGTATTCAAATAAATCAAACATGTATTTGGCTTCAGCACTAGTGACATGGTTGAGAGAGTAGCACAGGAATATCTTGGAGTCCTGCTTTTCCCTCTATAGTTGGAGGGACAAGCCTGGCTTGGGGTTCCCTGCCTGATGATATATATTGTATATAGGTATGACTGTGATTTTGTTTTTAATTTACTTATGAGAAGAAGTTGATTGGGGGGTGCGGTCAACTCCTTCTCATATAATATCAACGGTCAACCATCTCTACATCATTAATTTACTTATCTTTAGATTTTTTCATTGTACATAGTTTTTTATTATTATTTAGTAATTATTTTACTTTTGTTAATTTTATATTTTCTGTATATATGGTATGAATGTGTTCATATCTCACTACAATTATTATCCATGTGACAGATTATTATATTTCTAAATAAATAAAATAAAAAATGTGTTGTTTTTATTACGTACACATCATATTATTTATTTCCCAAATATGACAATAATTAAATAAATTGCCTACTTTTTTTTGTAAATACTTCAATATTATGAGAAACATGATATAACCAAGTCTTGATTATTTTTACCATTATTAAATAAAACAAACCTGAATACACTGGTGAGAAACAAATGTTGCTGTTTCTGATGCTGATAATTTAGCCATAGCTGCCTCCTACACAAAAAAAAAAAGATATTATTAACGATAGATACTGTTAAGGCTCATATAAATAATAATGTTTTTTTTTCCACCCTATCTTTCTATTATGGGTGATAAATATTCAGGACGCAGTCTTTTTTAAAAAAAATTTTATTTTGGCCAATGTTTCAACCCAAACATGTGGGTCATTTTCAGGGCTGAAAATGTTTTTTTAAAAATTACAATCAGAGATATAATAGTATACGACCACTAATTATAAATAATAAACTATAGTGATTGATGGCACATGAATCTTAACTAATATTGTAATACACATATTAAAATAGTTATACAAACTAAAAATAAAAAATAATGTATATAATCCATTTATATAAATTTGTAATATTTTCTCTTACTAACCGTGGTTTGAGCACTGAGGTTGTTCATGTACTGACACATGTTTGGTAGGTAAGTAAAAAGGTCAGGGGGGGGGAGGATTTCCCACTTGTCCTTTTTCAGATAGCAAAAGGTAAGTAAACAAGGTTAGAGGGGAAGGGAGGGTAACATTTGTTGTTTTTAGAATATACATAATTTGCTGACAAATATTTCAGACGTGTACAATATTTGAGTTATTTCATATGGTTACAGAAATGTGACTATTGACTAGTATTAAAATGAACATAAGCAAAAGGTGCCAATTAATATAAATATAGCTTAGTTTGATAGCAAGTATACAAGGGTTAGATGAATAATTTTTATAATAAAGACAATTTCAATGTATGCAAATGATACTTAGGACAACATATTATACAATATTTATCATAATATAAGTTTGTGTTATATTAAGGATTACATAGGCTATTGTTTCAGGAGGCGGAAAATATTTGAATATGTATTGCAGATCTTTTCTTTGTCTACTTTATGGTTTACCGGATTATTTTTTTCCAAATTAATGAATATAGATTCCGATAGTAGTCGTTTTTGGTGATTGGGAACTGTGGCGAGTATGGTTGGGTTTTCAAAATCAAATGTGTGGTTTAGGGTTATGGTGTGTTCCGCTAGTTTTGAGGTAAACGGGTTTCGTGTGGAGATGCTATATTTGTGTTGGCAAAAACGTTGGCTAGAATAAAAAATTAGTAGAACTTTGGCAAAAATAAAAAAAATTTTAAAAAAGACTGCGTCCTGAATATTTATCACCCATGATATGTAGAACAGTCGACTAACTTCCTTCAAGTATCTTTCTATTAATTGAGTGTATACGTATAACCCAGCTTACTGACCCAAAACTGTCATAACCACATGAGAGTAATAGGAGAGGGATAGAAATGGGGAAAAAATTGAGAATAGGTAGCATTAAAAAGCGGTGTAAGAAATAAATCAAAGTAAAAGTCTTTGTGTTAGCCTCGTTAATCTGGAGACCCATTGTTCATCCTTCGATGAGATTAGGCAGTTATACAATCTAATTGAAAACACTTTATATCCCATGTTGAGTGAACTGATTTTTCCGTAGTCATTGCATTGAGTTGAATCGCCTTTCTGCTTAAAAAGAGGTACAATGATAGGCTCATTTCATTCTTGTGGCATTGCCTCTGAAGTCTAGATGGTTTTAATTAGATTAGTTGTTTATTTTACTAGTTCAAACTTCCTGCCTTCAGAAATTCTGCTGGGATGCTATCTGACCCAAACACTTCATTGTTTTTCAGGTTATCCAAAATTAATTTAATATCAATGCTGTCCAGGAGCACCAACTCACTCTCATTTTCCTCTTCTGGTGGGTTACCTATCATCCTCAAGTATAGGATTAAGCAGTTTCTTAAAATGGTCTCTTCATCTTTCTTGAATATTCTGGTGCACATTTAGTAGCTTACCTTCAGCATTCCATTGTTGAATTGTTGCTGAAACCTGCAGTTATGGTCTCGACTTCTTCTCTAGTGGTGCTTGCTTCTTCTTTTTCTTCAGCACTTGCTTTGCTTTAGTTCAAGCTTCTTTGTACTCATTCTTCCTTTCATATGTCTCAACTCAAGAAAACTGACCTCCTTGGATTCTATTCCACCACCACTTCACATTCCTTATCAGCAAAGATGTTATCGGACCACCTATCCTTGTGACAATACTGGTCAATTTTTAACAACTTTCAATTAAAATGTATATTACAATAGCTGCAGAGAGGGCTTTCTCTAATTTTAAATTTCTCATAGAGGTGTGCCCTCATCCAATTGTGGCTTGTTCTGAGTCTAAATAGTAAAACTTGCTCTTTTCTGCTCATTTTTTAATAAGCATCTGCAGGATTGTAATGTGGATGGGCATCATTCCACCTTTGTAGTATAGCAACTTTATTATGGAGATGGCCTCCTGAAGTGTTTCAGAATAGATTTTCTTTGAAGTGATGCAGCTCCTTCCTTTGCTAGTTGGTCAGCTATTTCATTTCTATTTAGTCCACAGTGCCCTGGTATCCATTGGGGTACTTCTCTTTTGTGCTGGAGTTGAAGTTTTTCAATTTCTCATCCTAGGGTCTAGAGTCTAGATTTCCATTTGGACTTAGGGACTGAAGTACCGATGCCCCATATGACAGAAATACAGTATTGGAGTTTCGATTCCTTTTTAGGCGCCTCATTATTTTTCTGCCCTATACGATAGTCTTCTGTTCAGCATTGAAATTTGCACATATAGAACCTGTTGGAATGGCTTTGTCTAGGGTGGTATGAGCCATGAATTCTATGTGTATTCATGCTCCTCCGTTAGCATTTACTTATTATATTATATTATCACTATTATAATTTTTATGTTTTGTTTTTTTCCCTTCATTAACATGTTATTGCTACTTGATATTTTTTTAATTTTAAGATGTTCCTATAGATAAACTCTCAATTGCGAAGGATTTATTGATATTAATAAGGAAATTAGTTTGCATTAAAAAATTAACTAACCTTTGTATATTTGTTTCCTTCATCTTTTAGTGCAGCAGCCCGCCATGTTAACAATCTAGATGATTCAATTTTCAAAGCCATATCTGCTATTTTATTCTAAAAAAAAAAAATACAAGAAATTTAATTTTTAATAATTAAAGTGTTTTCATAAATACATCATATATGATAAAAAAAACACTTGCTATAAATATACAGAATTTATGTAACTATGGGTGGAAAAGTACACAAAATAAAAAAGATAATATTTATAAAATACCATGCATTAGAAGAAATAAGATGTCCATCTAGTCGCTTAACTTACAGATAAAATTGAATCATTTCTTCTTTATTTATTTCTCTAATAACATATCTTTTTTTTTCTTTTTTTTTATTGCATTTTATTTTATTCTTCTATAGAGGATCCCATAGATCTAAATAGCCCAAAGGCTAAACGAAAATGCCCTCGGGGTCGTCTTAAACTACAGATACTATAATCGTGATTAGCCTATCTTTTTTATAATAGAAAGAACAGATGATCAAAATTTTCAAAAAATATCCTCATTTTTAATAAGTAAGTTTCTTTGAGGTTTGGTGGGAGACTTAATTTTACTTGTGATAGTCAAAGAAAAAAAAAGAGAAAGTATATTAGTAGACAGGTTGATCTTATCTAGTTCATATATTCAATGATTGATAATAGTAGGAACATATTAAAAAAATTGTTAACCGATTCCAATTTCATCATATCAAGTTCAGAAACTGAATAAATGAACAATATCACTGGAACCAAAAGTTTGCATTCTGAAAGTGAATTAGAATGTGAATTGAAAATTATGTTTCTGCAATTCCTCCCCTCCCCCTCCCCCACAGACACACGGGGCGCGTGGTGGTACTTAGGCTGTAGATGTGTCCCTGGCTTGAAGTACTGAAGCTCGATAGGAAGGAAGGAAAAATTCAAATTATTATTAGTAGAGGCAAATAGGAATTTGTATTTTTGAGCCAATGATGAATGTTTATTTTTTCTAGTCCTGAAGAGGATCCCATCTAAATTCTATGTATAAGAAAATGAGGGATTGAAACATTATGAAATAAAGAGAATGAACTCCAAAATTATGTAGTTTATTAAATTGTAAATTAAATGACCTAATACCCAAAAAGAATAATTATTTCACAATATATCTCTCTCTATTTATATATATATATATATATATATATATATATATATTATATATATATATATATATATATATATATATATATATATATATATATATATAAATAGAGAGAGAGAGAGAGAGAGAGAGAGAGAGAGAGAGAGAGAGAGAGAGAGAGAGAGAGAGAGAGAGAGAGAGAGAGAGATCTACGAGATCTGTAGAGCCAAATGAAAAAAATAAATAAATAAATATTAGGAGTCTTAGAGTATCTCTCTATCAGTTAAGAGCTCAACTAGTGCTTCTCGCTATAAAACATTATTAAAACAGTTACTTAGAGATATTCCAGCTTTTTTTTTTCTTTCTTTTCTCAGTTATTTCATCTCGTAATATCTTATTAACATTACAGCTTCACTGCAGTTATTTGTTGTGGTAATCTAGTGAAAAATAAACGGGATAGAAGCAGCCAGTTGGAGTAGTGGGGATAGCCAGCAACAGCCTAATCTTATCAGCCTTCACTCAAACAAATAGGTGTGCCTTTGCTATTGTTATTATTTTCGTATTCTCTCACCATTTTAAAAAAACTGTGATATTTACTTATTTATTTTATTTTATTTTTTCAAAATGGTTAATTGTAAATTATGTGGAAAATCAGTAGGTCGAGAAGACAAAACTAAATTAGCTTGTATCACATGGCAAAACATCTTTCATGCTAAATGCAGGAAAATAGATTTCACAGACTCAGAAGGCCTAGAAGAAGATATAAAAAATGGAAATGCACCGATTGTGAATCGGTATTGCCTACTTTGCCAGCCTCCGAGCCTAGTACTGTGATAGACCTACTGAGGTCGTTAGCGGATGAGGTGAAGGAAATTAAGTCCAAACTTTAGGGTATAGACGAACTGAAGGAAATAAAAGAAACCCTCCACAAACAATCATAACTATCTTACGAAAATATGGACCGGTTATTAAAAATTAAAAATCTCCTAGAAGAGCAAAAAAAAACATGTTGAAAAATTAACCGTGGAAAACAACATGTTGAAAACAAAAATAGTTGAGCTGGAAAGTCGTCTGAATTCCACAGAACAATTTCAACTGAAAAACTCGATAGAAATTAAAGGAATTCCGGAGAAGCCTTAGCGTCGGAGCAGGTCTGGGTGTCAAGTTGAGTCTGGATGAACTTTATCACGTCGTGCGACTCAAGCCCAAACAAGAAGGCACTCCAGGCCCAATTATAGTAAGATTCTTTTATTCTTGCATAAATTATTTAGACCTTTATCTGATTTTTTGTCAATCTTTATCAATTTATCTAAACAAAGGGGATATTTATATTTTCTTATGTTATAAATTAATTTTAACGGAATATTTATTTCAAAATACTGAAAATTTATTTTTTTTATCTCAAAGTTTATTTTAGGTTTACATTGTTTTTTATATTTCTAAACTTGATTTCATGCTTAAAATATGTAATATCCTATCCTTCATCCTCGATAATTTTTTTCCTAAATTCGACTTCCCAACTCTCCAGTCATGACTAATATTCTGAATTCCTGTCACATCAATGCACAATCCCTTACTGCACACTACGATGAATTTCAGAATCACTTCCTTGATAATTTTTATCACATAATAGCAGTATCTGAAACCTGGTTAAAACCTTTTATTCCTTCATCCCACATTTCCCTACCCAACTATTCTTTCCTACGCCATGACAGATCTGATCGCAAGGGATGTGGTGTCGGATTGTATCTCCATGACAGTCTTAAGGCCAAAATCCTCCTGCAGTCTCCTTCTCATGACTTTCCTCACATGGAATATATTTTCATTGAAATTTACTCTATTACCTCTCCTCTATTATTTGCCATAGTTTACCGCCCTCCTCGTGTTCCATTTGATAACTTCTTTGAAACCTCCCTTGTCAACCTGGTCTCTGTTTACAACAATATTATTATCACTGGCGATTTCAACGTGAATATGCTTTCACAATCTCCTGAAAAATACTTCCTAACCGACCTACTGTTTTCCCTTAATCTTCATCTTCTTCCTTATTCTCCTACCCATCACACGCAATTATCCGACACCTGGTTAGACCTCTACATCTCTGACTCGCATATCAAAATCCTCTCCTCTTCTCAACACCCCGTTCCATTTCTTTCATCCCACGATCTGATCCAAATTACTTATGACCTACCCATGAAATTCTTTACACCCAAAATAGTTTCATACCGTAATTTAAACCTTTTGTCCATTGAATCCCTACAACCTGATCTTGATTTTTTCTAATGGGACATCATATCTTCCTATGACTCCCTTGATCCTATGATATCTACCCTAACCTCAAACCTACAATCCTTATTAGACACCCATGCTCCTCTGAAAACTAAAACCTTATGTCGTCCCACTGACCTTGGCTGAGTCTTGAAATAAAGGAAATGATGAAAAGAAGGGATGCAGCAAGGCGCAAATACCGCCGAACCCGTTTGCCAGCTGATTATGCGTCTTTTAAGAAACTTCGCAATGGAACCCAATCCACAATCCGACTTGCTAATGTGACCTACGATGAATTACTTTCCACTATCCTAGAATCCCATACTAATGATTATGGTCCTGATAATATCCCAGTAAAACTAATAAAATCCAGCCTTCCTGCCCTTATTTCTGTTCTTTACCATATCTACAACTTTTTACTGCAAAACTCTATATTCCCATCATCCTGGAAAACTGCCCTAGTCCGACCTTTGAATAAAATTCCCAACCCTACCTCACTGCACGATTTCCGTCCTATTTCTCTTCTATTCAACCTTTCAAAGCCGTTAAAACGCCTTTTACAAAATCAGCTCTCCAACTTCCTAGAAGAACGTTCCCTTATCAACCCATTCCAATCTGGCATTCGACCTGGCTACTCAATGCAATCCACTCTCCTTAAAATAACCCATGACCTCCAAAACTCCATTGAACACCAAAACCTTACCATCTTCATCCTTCTAGATTTTTTCAAAGCGTTCGACACAGTTGACCATAACATCCTCCTTACGAAATTGCACAATCTTCCTCTATCCGACAGTGCCCTGTGTCGGCTCAAATCCTTCCTTTCAAATCGGTCCCAGTATGTAGTCATCCCAGGTCAACTTCCATCTAAGACCTTCCCCCTTCTCCTGTGGTGTCCCTCAAGGTTCCTCTCTATCTCCTTCTCTGTTTGCTATTTACATTAATGACCTTCCCCTCCTGATCCGTCACTCCCAATACCATACCTATGCAGATGATTTCCAAATATACCTGTTCTTCCCGCCCTCCGACCTATTATCAGCCACAGAAAAACTTCAAGAAGACTTGGATAAGATTTGTGACTGGGCGAGAGCCAACAAGTTGAAGTTGAATGTGGAAAAGACAAAGGCAATCTTAATTGGCTCCAATCACCTCCTTAAAACTGTTCCACATATTCCAACTCTATTCCTACATGATAATCCCATCAAATTTTATCCCTCTATCAAAAACCTTGGAATAACCTTTGATCGAACGCTTTCCTGGAAAAACCATGTATCCAACATCTCCCTCAGTACCATTTCCACCTTAAAACGCCTAAACTACTTGTGTCGCTTATTTCCCCTTGAAACCCGTAGGCTCCTGGTCACTTCCTTAATTTTCCCCCACTTTGACTATTGCTGTATGGTATATGGGGGCGTCTCTGGGGATCTCGAGGCGAAACTAAAACGTTTAATAAATTGCTTTATACGATTGATCTTCGGGATCCCAAGGGACACCTTTGTTTCCCGTTTTTATGTAGAGTTGAAGTGGCTTGATCCTTCCTACTGTAGTAGATATCCCCCAGTATTTACTCCTTTATGTGACATTGTGTGAGGGAATGAGAAGGAATATATAGGAATGTGAGATTGCACGATGAATTGTATTCAATTATGCAGTGGACAAATTATTCATTGAAGTCTCATATCGATAAACAATCGATGAAGAAGGACGCTGGAAAAAGGAAGGAGCAGGTAGCAACATCTCTAAGTATAGCATTTCCAAGTCAATTTCAACCTTTTCCAAGTCAAATTCAACCTTTTCCAAATCAAATTAAACTTTTTCCAAGTCAAATTCAACCTTTTCCATTTCAAATTAAACCTTTTCCATATCAAATTCAACCTTTTTTTATTTATTTAACTATCTTTAATTTTTCGATGTGTGGGTCTGTTATCGTATGAGAAGTTTTTGAAAATAACCTCCATTTTAAGATTAAGTGACTGCGTTTCGAATTATGTAAGTTTTTTTGATTTATTCGACATAAGGGTGTATTTTTATGTTTCCCGATCCGTAAATTTTGAAAATGACATCCATTTTATGTTTACGCCACTGTGTTTTGACTTATTTAAGTTTTTAGAATTTATCAAATATAATGGTCTACTTTTATGTTTCCAGAGCCGTAGATTTTGAAAACGACCCCCATTTTAAGATTAGGCCACCGCGTTTCGACTTATTTGAGTTTTTCGGATTTTTTTCATATGAGGGTGTATTCTTATGTTTCCGGAGCCGTAGATTTTGAAAACGACCTCCATTTTAAGATTAGGCCACCGTGTTTCGATTTCTTTGAGTTTTTCGGACTTTTTCATATGAGTGAGTATTCTTATGTTTCTGGAGCCATAGATTTTGAAAACGACCTCCATTTTAAGGCCACCACGTTTCGATTTCTTTGAGTGTTTCAAATTTATCCAATTTAAAGGTCTACTTTTATGTTTTCGTAACTGTAGATTCTGAAAAAGACCTCCTCTATTTTATGATTACGCCACTGCGTTTCAACTTATTTAAGTTTCACGAATTTATCAAATATAATGGTCTACTTTTATGTTTCTGGAGCAGTAGATTTCCCCTATTTTGTAAATGACCCCATTTCAAGTTTATGCCACTGTTTTGGATTATAAAATTTTTTTATTACTTTTTCGGTATAAGGATATACTTATATGTTATCGGAAACGTATTGAAATTTTTCTAATCTTTAATATTTAAATTTATCTAATATTTGATCTCCATTTTATGATTAAGCCGCTGCATCTCGATTAATTAGGCTTCATTTTGGATTTTTTCAATACAAACTTTCATCAATATGTTTTCGAGTATTAATAAATAAATAAATAAATATTATGAAGCTAAAGTTAAGTTAACCACAGAATACAAACTAAAAAGCTGAAAAGCAACTGGAGATAAATTTAACCTTCCGTATTCAGATTTTTCAGCTAATTGTTCGAAATCTTATAATTTTGTGACAGGAGACCACAACATTAAAAAAGATAACTAAAATTAAATTAAAAATGAGATAATACATATTTTATTTATTTTGATTAGATATTTTTATTTATTTATTGAAAAATGAATTAATCCTTCGTATTTTGTTTTTTATTCGAAGGAAAAATCAAAAACACTTAAAAAAACCGAACACACTGTGGCCTAATCTTAAAATGTAAGTCATTTTAAAAACCAAGATTCCGGCATCATAAAAGTAGACCTTTAAATTGGATAAATTCGAAAAACTTGAATACGCAGTGGCGTAATCTTAAAATGGAGGTCATTTTCAAAATCTACGACTCCGGAAACATAAGAATACACTCTTTTATGATAAAAATTCGAAACACTTAAATAAATCTAAATGCGGTGGCCTAATCTTAAAATGGAGGTCGTTTTCAAAATCTACGGCTCCGGAAACAATCCTCATATGAAAAAAATCCGAAAAACTCAAATAAGTCGAAACGCGGTGGCCTAATCTTAAAATGGAGGTCGTTTTCAAAATCTACGGCTCCGGAAACATAAAAGTAGACCTTTATATTGGATAAATTCTAAAAACTTAAATAAGTCAAAACACAGTGACGTAAACATAAAATGGATGTCATTTTCAAAATTTACTGATCAGGAAACATAAAAATACACCCTTATATCGAATAAGTCAAAAAAACTTAAATGATTCAAACGGAGTCACGTAATCTATAGGTTCAGCACAGCATAATACTAGTCCCTAATAAATCCGAATAGGTACAATAAATCGATATCCGTAAGTGAAAATTCTACTTAGGAGAGCATAATAATAGACTTTCATATTGGAGGGGGGGAGAGGATGGCCATTATTTTAAAAAAAATATATAAAATTTACAAAAAATTAAAACATTAATTTGAAATGAAAACGGTTGAATTTGAATTGGAAAAGGTTTAATTTGAAATGGAAATGGTTGAATTTGACTTGGAAAAAGTTTAATTTGATCTGGAAAAGGTTGAATTTGACTTGGAAAAGGTTGAATTTGACTTGGAAATAATTGAATATGACATAGAAATATCACACTGAAAAAATCTAAAATGTTAAAATAAATGGATATGCAACCGCGTTATCAAAATTTTTTTTGTATTTTTCAAAAGCTATGCCTTCGATAATATATAAGTGGCCTTCACTTCGAAAAAAATCGAAAATTGACAAAAATTCGAAAGTTGAATTTGAAATTGAAAAGGTTGAATTTGACTGGGAAAAGGTTGAATTTGAAATGGAAAAGGTTTAATTTGACTTGGAAAAGGTTGAATTTGATTTGGAAAAGGTTGAAATTGACTTGGAAATGCTATATATATGCTTTACTCTCTAAGTACATAGCCTAACTCGCTAAGTATATATTCTATGGTAAAATTTATAATAAAACTTTTGAAAGGTAATTAAATTACCAACAAAACAAAAAAACATCATCGGAATTCCGATATGCGGTTCTCAACGGATCTAGATGTTTCAGAGCCCCCTAAGTTCAGAAAAAAAAAACCGTTTAGCCTGTTTTTTTGAAAGGTAATGAAAATACTATCCTCGGCCATTGGTAGGAGACTGATATCACACATGGAGAAAGAAGTATGCGAATATCAGGGTGGCTTCAGGAAGGGTAGATCGACTATTGACCAGATCTTTACCGCCCGGCAGGTGCTAGAGAAGTCACGGGAATACAACATCGACCTGCATCACCTCTATATTGATTTTCAGCAGGCATACGACTCAGTGGATAGGCAGGTTTTGATGAGGGGTCTCCTTTCTCTGGGTGTATCTAAGAAGCTCACTCGCTTAGTAAAAATGACAATGGCAGATACCAGATGCAGAGTGAAACTACAAGGATTGCTGTCAGAGGAGTTCTCTGTGGTTTCGGGAATAATGCAAGGAGACACCAAGGCTACTCCCCTTTTTAACATGACCTTGTAGAAGGCGGCAAGGGCCATAAGGATCAACCCGAGAGGTACCATCTTTGACCACTTCACACAGCACATGGCGTACGTAGATGATGTAGAGATTGTGGCAAGGACGCTCCCAGCGCTGGCGGGTGCATTAAAGGATTTTGAGACCGCTGTAGCAGCTCGAGGTCTACAAATAAACGTGCAAAAGACGATGTACATGAAGAGTTCAAGACATCGCCCTCATCAAGACCGGACACTAAACATAGGCCAACATGAGTTCCCAGTATGCAGAGAGTTCAAGTACCTGGGATCCCTTATGACGGCAGACAATGATGTAGGAGCTGAAATAGGAGCCAGGATTGCTGCGGGAAGCCGAAGTTTTTATGCCAAACAGGGACTACTCACGTTTCGAAGACTATCAAGGAATGCCAAATTGACAATCTATAAAACATTGATTCGTCCGGTAGTCACATACGGAAGCGAGAGGTGGGTTACCTCAGCAAAACATGAGAGGGCTCTTGGAGTGTGGGAGCGTAAGTTTCTTAGGAGGATTTATGGGCCCGTATGCGAAGGTGTTTGGAGGTCACGAGTTGCGGGAGTTGCGACAACTCTACAGTGACGCAGATCTCATAAGTGTCATTAAGGCAGGACGAATAAGATGGTTAGGGCATGTGGAAAGGATGGCAGCGCAGCGAGTACCGAGGAAAACACTGTATGGACGACTTGGAGGAGCAAGAAGAAGAGGAAGGCCACCACTTCGTTGGCTAGAGGATGTTGAGGCGGATTTGAGACAGCTTGGTGTCAGGCGGTGGAGGGCTGTCACATTGGACAGAGACGAGTAGCGACGTATTGTTGAGAAGGCCAAGGTCCCACACGGACTATAGAGCCGAGGAGTAAGTAAGTAAGTAATGAAATCCTCTACAAAACTATATAAAAATTATTCATTTCGGACAACTATTAACAAAGTTATAGCTATTCAATTTCCAATGTAAAATTACGGGTTCATATCCTGGTGTCAGAAAGTTGAATGAGAGAAAAAAGATAACTAAGTGAAAGTAAGAAAATCTGTTGCCCGCATCACACAAGCTTCAGTATTTCACTAATTTTAACAGAAATTATTGTTTGACAAAATTAGGCTATGGCAAAAAGTTTTTGATCAGCAAAACTAGAGGGTATTGAAATTTTTATACTGATCTACCTATAGCCGGTTTACATTGCTTTAGTTAATCAAATGTTTTTGATTCAGGAGTACAATACGTAATACTTTTCTGCAATACATAAACCAAAATAAAATAAGTATTAAATCTGATAAATTAAAGAAAACTTAATAAATTCTTTATTTAGTGTTTTTAAAAGTAAAGTTTATTTAGTTCATATTTATCATTAACAAAAGGTTGTTCATTGTATTCAATATTCTTTATTTTTCATTGTAAACATTTTGAAGCGAAAATAATTTAATACCAAGCCAATAAAAGCTCTTTATTTTTATTTATAGTAAGAAAGAAAATGTGAAATTTATTTTTAATAAAGCTATCTATCTACCTATCTACCAATTAACAAAGAAAATGTATCACATAGATGGTGCCATTTAGAAGTATGGATAATTTTCAAAAAGCTAACTTGATTGAAAATAGTTCATAATCTACAATCCAAGATATAGAAAAATAAAAATCAAACACTATGGATAGAGACCTGAATAGATTGCAGCTTTGATATTGGAGCTCCAAAAGCACTTCTTTTTGAAGCATATTCAACAGCACAATCAAGAGATGCTTGTGCGATTCCTAGCGCTTGAGCTGCTATGCCTATTCGACCAGAATCTGAAAAATATAATAATGATTTTGAAATAACCAATTAATATCTTATAAAATGAATATAAACTTAAGATGAAATACATTAGTCTAGAAAATGAAAAGATCAGGTACGGTGCATGCACCACACAACTTTTACTTATCACACTATTTTGTGTAAACATTAGTTTTAAATTTATTGATTAATTAATAATTAATTAATGCCTCAAATAACATAATAATAGAACACAATACAAATGAAATTTGAGAAGTTAAAGATGAGAATGGACTTACATCAAGAAGTATGAAATATTTAAATACAATGATAAGAAGAAACAGGAGATATTTACAAAAACATTATTTCCTAAAACACTAACAATATAAATATAAACCATCCACAATTATTATAAAATAAATATTCCAGTCACATCCTTCAGGTTTGGTGCCATTTTCTCATAATTTATCATATATCTATTTTAGGCCAAAGGTCACAAAAAAAACAGTTTTTTTATATCCTGTATGCTTTATTCAACGTTTTGGCTTCAGGAGCCATTTTCAAGTGAGATACAAGACAAATTACTAAACTATGTCAACAAACTAATTAAAAATAAATACATTGAAGAAAAATATAAAGATAGACTAATTAATAGACACTATACCATTCCGAGAATATATGGCCTGAGTAAACTACATAAGACAAACACACCACTGAGACCAATAGCCAATAATATTAATGGGATAACTGAAAAACTAGCAAAATTTTTAAATCCAGCACTAAATAGTCTTAATAATAAAAATACATATGACATAAAGAATTCTATGGAAGTCAAAGATAAGATGAATAATGTTAACAAAATTGAAGATAATGAATCCCTAGTCAGTTATGATGCGGAATCCCTCTTTACAAATATTCCCCTTAAAGAACTATGTAAGATATTGGAAACAAATTGGGAGGAAATCGAACCCCATAGGACGATTAAAAATAAAGCACTGTTCATGGAGGGATAAAATTAATCTGTGACAACGGATACTTCACATACAATAGCAATTTCTTTAAAATTAGAAACGGACTGCCGATGGGAGGAGCTATATCGATTAATCTTAGCGGCATATACCTAAATAGCCTGTTGGATAAAGCTATAAAGAAATTTAATAAAATTCCTAAGATTTTTATAAAGTATGTTGACGATATCCTGACGATTATAGACAAAAATGAAATAAACATTTTTTAAACATATTAAATTCATTGTCTGATAAACTTAAATTCACAAATGAAGTAGAAGAAAACAATAAAATTAGATTCTTGGACATGAATATAAATAGAAATGAAGCAGGGATACTAAAAACATCGTGGTGTAAAAAAGTTATTACGAGCAATAGAATACTAAACTGGCATAGTAACCATAATATACAACAGAAAATTAATACAGCTAAAAATTTAATAGATAGGGCCAAACTAATTACAGACAAAATACATATTAAAGAAGTAAAAACACAAATATATGAAATTCTACTCCAAAATTGGTACCCCATAAGACTGATAAATAAATTATGGCACAAAGATAAAAGAGAAAAAAACATAGATAATTATAAAGAAATAAAGGGTCCAAACATCAATACCAATATAAAAACTAATCAAAACAAGACCAAAAATAAAAAAGCAAATCTAATCACAAACTATTTTAAAGTAGATAATACTGAAAAACATAAGCATAACAAAGAAAATCCTGATCTACAATTTCAGAATGAGAAAAATAAGAATATTAACGCAGACCCCAACCCCAAAAAATACTTTTCGGTCACTTATATTAGAGGTTTAACTGATAAAATTGAAAAAAACTTTAAAAAATATGATATAAATGAAATCAGATTTGGGAAAAAACCTATTAATAAATTAGATAAATTATATAGTAGAACTAAGGATATTATTCCAAATGAAAAACAAACTAATATTGTTTATAAAATACAATGCGAGGATTGTGAAAATCCTCACAATGGTTTGAACTTAGGATACAGCAACATAAACAAAATTGCAGGTCTAAAACGACAAAATCAAAATTAGCCACAGGATTATCGAGCATACCACAAAAAATGGACATAAATTTGATTTCGGTACTGCTTCCGTGTTGCATAGAGAACAAAATATTGGAAACGTAGAATCATTGAATCCATTTTTATTACTAAAAATCTTAAACATTCAGTGAATCAACAGACAGATGTTGACAATTTAAACACGTTTTATGCTTGCACAATAGACAAAATTAATATATAACATACTGATATAAAACAGCTGATCCCTAACCCCTCCACCCCATTCCTTATGTAAGTAAATCCAGTTCTGTATGAATGCCCTATTGAAGAACAACAACTTCTTGATACCGTCTGCAAATAGAGGTATATAAATCGAAAATTAATAATATTCTTTTTTAAAATTAGTTATAACAATCTATTTTAATTTATTATTTATACATTACAATTTTTAGAAACGGAGAACGACATTCTTTGAAATAAAAGAATGAATTAAGGACGAATCATATCGCAATGATAAATTTTAAAAATTTTATGGCGCGGTGCATGGTAGGTGGATGATATAAGTTTATTCAAAATTAAAATTTTTTAAACTAAATGTATTACTTGTGGTAGTTAAATAATATATGTCTGTGGCTGTATTTGAATGGTAAAAAATAAATTTAAATTAGTTTTGCAGGTTCTTGAAAATGGCTCCTGAAGCCGAAACGTTGAATACAGCATACAGGAGATAAAAACACTGTTTTTTTTTTTTTTTTGTGACCTTTGGCCTAAAATGGATATATGATAAATTATAATAAATATTCCAGTGCACCATTTATTTTTGATATGTCAAGCTGATAATACATTTTAAAAGTATCCATTTAGTTATTATGGCTATTCCAGTCAGTTTCCATGGAAACATTTATTTCTTATTCACCAATATAAAAATCTGGTGCGTCCATCACACGACTTTTACTTACCACCTTCTTCTTAGCAGAAATAAGGTGTATGTAAGGCAATACGATCTCTTATATCTCCTTTAGTTAATTATCAAATTCTTTCATATTTTATATTTAACTATCTTTTTTTATCAAAGATTAATGTGAAATGGTTAATTATTTCAAATAAAACAAATTAAAAGTACTTTTGAGGAAGCTAATATTGAAAATTAGCCATTTAAGCCCTGTAAGAGAACATCAATGAGAATAAAACTTACATTATATTAAAAACTGGTTAATGATACACTGATATACTGAGTTTAATCAAAATTGTTTGAGCCATTTTTGAGAAAATCATAAAAATGTGTTAAATCGATCATTTAAAGTACCACTTCGGGTTTGCTGAGTTTGACAAAAATGTTACTGTAATATTCAAGGATTATAAAAACCTCAAATATGCAATTTCTGGTCCGTACCGCTTTTCGTTTTTAAGATGGGCTGTTCACACAAACATACACATATAGACCATTTTGCGGTATTTGGTTATTTGGACTCAGTGGACCTCAAAATGTGTATTTCTGTAAAAAATTCAGATTCAAAAATTTTTACGACCGCAATACTCACCCTTACTATATATTACATATATAGGTAAGTGAAAGTAAAAATATAAATTGTCAATAAAAACCATTATTATGACGGTATGCAAAGATGTTCCTTACACTTTTATATCCCTAACTCAATGAGATCTGAGTCCATTCCTTCTAGCTGGTGATACCCATAAAAATTCACAAACTTACACTAACCACACTTTTCACAAATGCCACAGATAAATATTGATTTGTTAATGTTCATGTGTAGTATTTGTATGATAATAACTAATATGGAAAGACATAAATCTTATATTGTGAATTTTATAATGCAAGCCATAATGATGTAGAGATGGTTGACCGTTGATATAATATGAAAAGGAGTTGATCGGGGGGGTGCGGTCAAATTAATACTAAATTAAACAAGTATAAAGGTTAACCTTTAGTCCCGTTATCTATTTACCTACAGTAATCTAATGTAACCTTCACTAGCTTGTTATCAACTGATATCTTACTATTATGTTATCTTATTCTTATTTTAGCTTTACTTTATCAATACTTATTCAATTTACAATCTATTTATTCGTTAACATTAATTTTATTTATATGTTAACCTACATTTATCAAATGTAATCTCTATTAGTTTGTTATACACTAATTCCTTATCTTTTATCAGAATCTGTTTACTTTTTACTTACATGCTATATTCTCCTTTATTTTCTATTTTTATTCATACTTATTTTCCATTTTTGTTTGTATCTTCTACATATAATATTTGATATTTTAACTACATTGTCACCCACTATATCTCTGATATCCTCTTTTTATTTCTGTATCAGACAACTTATTCTTATTTTATATCTACTTATATTCATTTATTTTATTTTCACCATGTTTTGTATCTTTTGTAGCCCTGATGAAGACCTGCAAAGTGGGTCGAAACGTCGGCAAAAATTAAATAATTCTACTTGTTTAATTTAGTATTAATTTGACCGCACCCCCCCCCTTATATTTGTAGTCAATTAGATTTGTCAATATCTACCATACTAAGTTTTACATACATGTTTGATAATTACTAAATTGGATAGGAAAAAGTGTTACAACATGAATTATACAGTGTAGGTTGGGTAAGTCAATATAACAATATTGAATGAGAAGTTCCTTCCTTCAATCTTATTACCCATTGCAATGACCTATGATGGTCTACAGCCCATACAATTCTAAAAAGTTTCCGCTCTACCGCACTGTATCTAGTTTCCGTCTATGTAAGACCTCTGCTGGCATACGCCACAGTTCTTTCACCTACTGGTCCATCCGATTGCTCCCCGCGCATATTCTCTCGCAACAGTGGTAATTGAAAATATTTTCGTAAAGTCCGGGAATGCTAATTGGCTCCTCCTGCAACAGCGCCATGCATTTACAAATGTTGTTTTCCATAACTGGCGTTATAACTACTTTTTGCCCCTTTTTAAGGAGATTGTTGACGGGTACAAGATCCATCACCATTTCCGGAACGAACTGTCTATAATAATTCATCGTTCCTAACAATCCCTTTTACATCTGTGGAAACTGCCATTTTTTGTATAGCTTCCACTTTCCTGACATCCAGTTGTCTCGCTCAGCAGGTGTTCAACATGTTGAACCTCGGCTTTGCTAAATATCGACAAATCATCCATATTTATTAGGCGAAATGATTCATACCAGCTACCCTGTTTCTCCCAATCAACTGAATTCCTGACTGAGTTCGCCCATTGAGCAAAGTTTTGGTTCCCTCCAAAGTTTCCAATTTCAGACCCATCTCCATTCTCTCCAACATTTCAAAACTTCTTGAAAGACTAGTCCATTCATAGCTTAATACCTTCCTTGAGCATTAGGCTATCCTCAATCCAATCCAGTCTGGTTTCCAATCGCAATTCTCCACCCAGTCTGCTTAGTTGAAAATTACCCAAGACCTTCATCTCTGCATGGACAAACAAAAAATCTCCATCCTGATCATCTTTGACTTTTCAAAAACGTTCATTTCAATAATGAAATCCTTCTTTCTAAATTCCAAAACCTTTCCATATCAAATAGCATCCTAAAGTGGTTCCATTCCTTCTTGTATCACAGATCTTAAACAGTCATTATTCCCAATAAAACTCCTTCCTCCTCCCTCTCAATAACTCATGGTATTCCTCAGAGATCTTTGCTCTCTCCAACTCTTTTCTCCATATACTTCAACGACCTTCCCGATTCCATCCATCATTTACAATACCACTTATATGTTAACGATTTCCAAATCTACCTTTCATTTTATCCTCCTGAGATGCTTGAGGCGATCCAAAGACTACATGAAGATATAAACAGTATTACTACTTGGGAAGCGAGTAATAATTTGAAGTTGAACTTTGAGAAGACTATAACATTCTCATTGGTTCCAAGCATTTATTAATTCCATTCCATACTATCCCCTTCTCTACATCAATATACTACCTATTCGTTTCCATACTTCTGTCAGAAATCTTGGAGTAATTTTCGATCAATACCTGTCCTGGAATAATTATGTTTCCCAAATTATCCGAAAATCTATTGCTACCCTAAAACAGTTCCTGAGATTTAGTAGTTCTATGCTCCTAAAAACCCGCCAACCCCTTGTTTCCTCACTTCGATTATGATTTTTTTTTTTTATCCCCTACCTGGCCATTTCTGGCAAACAAGGTTACATCGATTATGACTGGCTTGTATTGTTTCATGAACTTTGATTAATGAATTGTTTCATTCGATTCATCTTTGGAGTCCTCAGTGAAAAAAAAAAAAGTTCATAAAATAATGTTTTTTTTTATTACCTCGAAGAGGGTTAAATAAAATTAAGTAATTAGTATCAGTTTTAATAATAAGTATTAGTTTATAATAAGCCTTAGTTTTAAGTATTAATTTTAAGCCAGTATAACTTTTTAAATCAATAGAAATAAGTAAATTCATCATTAGTATTAATAATAGCCAGTTTTATTTTCTTCTTTTTCTTCTGTTGTTTTCACGTTTTATGTATAAATTATATTGTTGTCTTTTTTAAATATTAAATTATATGTATTAATAATTATAATAATAATTATAATATGTATTAAATATATTGTTGTCTTTTTATGTATAAATTATATTGTTGTCTTTTTTAAGGTTTATTAAGGAATTTTAAAACCCTATTCGGGGAATTAGGGAAAATCAATATTAACTGAGTAAGAAGGTTCGATAGGTTATGAGATTAATTAACATATTTTTTTAAACCCAAAGGTTCCGAGTTCGTAGATCATTCCGCGTCCAATTCTTTTTTTTTTAAATAAATTTTTTTTATTTTATTTTATTATTATTTTTTTATGGTTTCGCTATTTTCCAAATCCAACAAATTAAATAGCCTGGCGCCTGTTAGATAGTTATTAATATGTAATTGACTGTTGATTATTTTTCTTCTTTTTTTTGCGAACCCTACCATCTCCACTGAGCATCCAGCAAGTTTGTTACAGAAAGAATTCATCTAAATTTAAGACCGTAACACCACGTCTCCAGTTGGTACGCTCCAGCATCTTTTGTAAATAAACAGCCAACAATAACGAAAAACGCCGTGAAATAAAACATCTGGAGAATGCATTTCTCTTTATAAAACACGGATTACTTTTTAAAATATTTGAAGCAGTTAATTAGAAAATAAATTTAATTGGGCGAAAAGTGGCACTGACATAGGCTTCTAGAGTCCTCTGCCACATCATTAAGTGCTCATAAATGGCATAGTTATAGTGCTATAATGATTGTATTAATATTTGATTGTATTAACAAACAAATTTTAATATAATAATTTAGTTGTCAATTTTTTTTTGTTTCGTTTTTTCTAAACTTTACCCATTATGAAAGCTCGATAGTTCGCTTCCTGTTGGTCTTAAAAAGAAAATGTTATATACAAAAATGTTAGATAATTTTAAAGCTGTTTAAGATTGAATATAACCATTTTTATCTATGTTACTCTAAAAAGGAGATATTTAGCAAAAACCAAAATAAGTTTGAAATTACAATGGTTTTTGGAGCACTGCAGCGAACCCATAAGGCTTTCAAGGGCAGAAACTTGGATTTTTTATAGTCACTGCATACCTAACAATATAAAAAAGAAATTTGGATTAACTGAACTTTTGCAAACTAGAACCCTTTTTTTGTTTTTTAGTCCCATCCTTCGGGTTTGGTGCCATTTTCTCATAATTTAACATATGTCTATTTTAGGCCATAGGTCACCAAAAAAAAACATATGGCGTGGTGCATGGTAGGTGAATGATACAAGTTTATTGTCTGAGGCTATAATTGAATGGTAAAAAATAAATTAAAATTTAGTTTGCAGGTTCTTGAAAATGGCTCCTGAAGCCGAAACGTTGAATAAACATACATGAAATACATAAAAAAACTGTGTTTTTTGGTGACCTCTTTTTGTGCTAATTTGACTGGGCAAAACAGGCCAATATTTTTGTAGGCCACTACATTATTTTATCACAAAATAGCTCACATATCATCTTGGCCTACAGATGTTAACCAATAAAGTATACATCATGAAATTGGCATTTATAAGGCATAGGTCTGAATAAACGGCTCATAAAATTTGTAGGCCACTAAGACCATTTGATTGTACTCATATATATTAACCTTTAATGGGAAAATCACCTAGATGTTCATAGGTTTTTAGTATGTCATTAAACTGACATGTTTACCAATCTTCAGAATAATGCCCCAATGCAGAGAATGTTTTAGTTAATTATAATAAATAGATATTATTTTATTTAATCTGTAAAATGACAAAAGTTGAATCATTATTTCATAAATTTAAAAAGAAATAATTTTTTTAAATATTTTGAAAGTTCACACACACACACACACGAATATATATATATTTATATATATATGAATTGTTTGCCTCACCTAATGTCATCATGGCAATTTTAAATCCTAAGCCAGGTTGTCCTACTAAGTTTTCTTCTGGTATTTCACAATCTTCAAATATCAAATTGCAAGTAGATGAGCCTCTAATGCCAAGTTTATTTTCTTTTTTGCCCAAAGAAAGGCCTATGAAAATAAAATAATGTTACAAGTCACAAAAAGTTTAATTAATTATTACATTAAATTTCAGCTACAATATTTACAAATAATGTTAATTTTATTCTACAATCAACTCGATTTACTAGAGAAAATCTGTATATACATTACAATAACAAGTACACTTTCAAAACATCCACACAATCCAAAAATTATAAGAAACATAGTTCAAATGATAAATAAATGAAAAGTGAACACCTTTTTATAAAATCTTCCTAGTTAATACTTTATTTAAAATGCTGGTACAGTAATTACAGTTTCAGATTGCTGCCCAATCATCACAATCATACTGTAAGCAATTATTAGCAACTAATTATACACTATATAGTTTTTAAAATATATAAATACAAAATATCTATAATCACTAACTACAAAATTCACTCTTAACCCTATAGCAACTAAATAACTTGGAAGATTTGTGGGCCCAGATGACAGGAAGTTAAGGTTGGTTGCCATGCTTACTGAACTGAATTCTTTTTGGTCATATTCACATTTCTTTTTCTTCTTCCATATAATTTTTTTGAAGTTGAAGTTATAGACAAATAAAAGGTATAGGTGGATTATAACATTTCATAAAGTTTATTTTTTCTTTTAACAAATTTTAAAATAATAATAAAAACTAATTTTTAATAAAATAGTCATGTTAAAATTATATTTTTCTTTCTTCTGATACTACAATTCAAAGTGAATCAGGGCCTGCCTTAGCATAAAATGGCAGTTCCCTCTACTGAGGATGTGTACTCACAGCCACTGTCTTCCGGTTCCTTTTTATTTCAGAATTTGTTTTCTGTTGCCAAGCAGTATTGTTGAAAACTGACCTGAATTTTTTTTTTGATGATCCACCTATCAAATCTTAGGAGTTTTAGTTCTTGAGCTCAAGAAATTGTTCGGCATTCAGACGCATAGATCAAAACAGGCCTTATGAAGTTACACTTTGGTGTTATGTAAGAGAAATTTACTTCTGAAATGTTTTAGGAGCCTAAAATAACATCTTTTTGGAGCCATTAATCTTTTATTAATTTCTTGCTGAATATTACTGTTGGGATTTATTTGAGAGCATAAATAAATAAATTTGTCTACACACTCAAATGTGAAGTCCCCAATTTTTATATGGGTGTTCTGCTGATCTAACACTGGGGGGCCTGCTCTCATATATTTGGTTTTTGTCTCATACACAGTAAGACTTATTCTTTGTGCAGCTTCCAGTAGAGCAAGAAATACATCCTTCATAGACGTCATGCTTCTTCTCATTACGTAAAAATTATCCCCAAATCAATTTATAGGGCTTAAAATTTGTGAATTGAGTTGGTATGAGAAAAGTTCCTTCTATGCACTCAAATTTCCACACCACCTTCCACCATTTTTATGAATTCAATTCGGAAACAAATTATAAAATTTTCATAAACAGTTGTTCAAAATAAGAATAATCCATATTTTTGTTTGAATTTGGAATGTTTTTCGTCTATCTCTGTTCATCGTACCAAAAAAATTTGCCCTATTTTCTTTAGCAATGTTTGTATCACTTATATAAACTATATTAGGTATATTCACATAAAAAAAATCTTTAAAGTATTTTCTTTATTTTTTTTATGGTTGCAATTATCCTTATAGAAATTAAAAATGTTGTGAAAAAATTGGTTTTAATGCTTGAGATATAGATGGATAAAAGAGATAAGAACTATTATTTGATTCGAAAATATTATTTATTAGATTTAAAATCCGAACCAAATTTTTTAAAAATCTGGTGTGTCTACTCTCACGACTTTTCCACCAATTTAAACTACTTTAAATATGTCTATTAAGGAAAGAATTGAATTAGCATTTCTTGAAGAACCAATACTTTCAGGTGCTATAACATAAAAAAATATGTAAATATCTTGTGACAAACATATATAACGTTTTATTCTCATCATTAGAAAAATATTATCTACAGTTGCTGGTCCATCCGCTTTATTTATTACTTTTTTTTGTAATTATTCACCAACATTAATAAAATTATATCTGTAAAATTACAGAATATGTATAATTACAGAAAATAGAAGAGCAAATTTTATATATTCATAAAAGGATCACAGAAAAGAAAGATACATTAATTTATTTTCAAGGAAATTTTGAAGTTTTCCCCTTGTCCCTTAGACAGAAAATTTATAACCCCATCAAAATTTGTCCATCTCAAAAATTAAAAAATCCGTCAAAATGTGCCCCCTCAAAACTTTTGATGGCTCAACTTGTGCCATGAAACCCCTTCTGGGCACCCCTGGTTTTTGGAGTACTGCAGCAAACCCTCAAGGATTTCAAGTGTGGAAACTTGGATTTTTTATGCTCACTACATACCCAACAGTATAAATAAGAAATTTGAATTTCTTTTGCAAGGTTACATGTCTAATTTGACTAGGCTATAACTTAATGTTATGTTTCATTCAACTAGATTTAGGTTAATCATCATCCATTGTTGAATAAGAATTAGGTTTTTTCTCATGTTACAACACGTTACACCTAACTTCAATTTAGAGATTCTAATTCTAACACAAGAGGAGATAAGCATTTTATAATTAAATATTTTTATATTTAGAAACATAAACTATGCTCTATTCATTTGTAAGGTGTGTAAACACAATTTTACACATTTTTTGGAGGGTTGTATTGCACGATTTTGCACATTTTGAGTTTTATACTGCAAGTTTTTGTTTTTCAATGCACAAATTCCGGTCTCTACTTGTCATTTAACCTGTTTCTTTGTTTTCTAATTATTAATGATGCTTTAGAAAATAACCTCTCAGCAGATAATGATGTTACAGGTATTGAAAGAAAATCACTCAGGTGATAACCCCCAAAAAATAACGAAGGAGCGAGAATATCATTTTGCCCATCTTCTTCCCCCAAAATTTATTGTAAACCATGCAATTTTCCTATCGTTTGAACCTTACCTAGTAATTACTAATCTATGAGTTTTTTTTTTGTTTGTGCAATAAGATATTTCACGGTGGGGGATATGTTTTGTGTAAGTGATTTTTTACCCAAGCGCTGCCTTACGGTGAGTCGTAAAAACAGATCTGATGAGGATCCAAAAGATATGAGTTAAGACGCTCACATTACGAGCTTCTCTTGCCCACTTCAGACCAAGACTTTGCATATAGAGGACATTAGACTGGAGAAGGGTGTCCTTCTTAATTCAAAGACCAAGTAACATTTATATGGCAGCATAAAAGGGTAAGTTTTACTTTGCATAATTCATATAACCTACTACATTCAATAAAAATACAGTCTACAGCCAAAATAATGTCAAATGTTGTCTAAGTAGAACTCATTAGAGTTATTTGCCTTTTTTAATAAAATTGGAAAGTTGTGTAAACAATAGTAAATATCATATTGTTTTGTTTCTCGACAATATTAAAGGCACAATACATTAGGCAATTACAATAAACAAGTAATATCAGTAATAGTCACATAGAAACCACGTATGAAAGACTACCTACAGGTATACAAGAAGATGAAGGCTGAAGTCAAGAAAAGAGACGTGGCACCGGTGGTTAAAGTAGGGATGTGGTAAAAGGGGGCGTGGCCTGAGCCTCATTGTAAATAATCATCAGAGCTGAAATGTAATAAATAAAGAGGATTCAGTCCTCTATCAAGAAGGAATTATCTCCATTCAGGAGCACATACTCTTTCTTACCAGTATTTTAGAGCTTATGATGTAATTTCTTTGAAACAATAAATTAAAAAAAAAAACATTATTTTTTTGCCTTAATATTTTATACATTAATAATATAATTATTGCTACATATTATATTACCTTTAATGGGTTTATTAACAAGAAATGAACTGATTCCCTTATGTTTTTTTGCCTTATCTGTTGTAGCAAACACTATTGTTGCTTCTGATTCATAACCATTTGTAATCCATGATTTTGTGCCATTTAATATCCAACCAGGATTCTTATGTCTTGCAGTAGTTGAAGCAGCACCAGCATCACTACCATTTCCTAGAAAAAAAAAAAATGAATTAGAAGCCTTACTGAAATTTTTCTGAATGAAATAATATTAATATATAATAATAGTAATACAATCAGTTCTCAAGTTGCAACAGGGCTTCATTCATCAAACACGATCTTAAGTTTAAAAAAGAAATGAACACCATAAATTTACTTTAAAATATTTTATTTGTTAGTTAAATGTGCATTGCATATATACTTTGAAGCAGGATATAGAGAGGTATATCGAGAAAGTTATAGCTCCATAGCTCTCCTTCTGTTTAGTGCATTTGCAAAAGATTTTTTAAGGAATCAAAAAGGAAAACAAGCTTTTCTGAAAGATAATTAGATAGCATAATCCAAAATGTGAGGCACTAAGCAGATAGAGAGCTATTTTTCTTTTTATATGGACTTCTCTATAACCTGCCTTAAAGTGAAGACAGTCCCAATTTTCAACTTCTCTTCCAATGTTCAACTTGAGTTTCCCAATCTTGAGCTTCTACGATTCTTGAGTATAATTTGTTTGGTACACTATACAGGAATGGATCTTGATGGGTATTACATTTCCTAGTATCTCCTTTCTTGTAAAGGTAAAAACCACAATCCTTTCATATCATTTTCTAATATACTTGTTGCCTATGTACGCACAAAACTGTGCGAAGCAGTATGGTTTCACCCTTTCCATCTTTCTTTGTGCAGAGAGAATAATATATTCAATATTAAAATTTCCTAATTTTTTTATGATATGGTACTAATTCCAAACAATTTATTCCTCAATTTCTGAACAATAACTAGGTATAACTAATATAAGATTCCTTAAAAAATCTTTTGCAAATGCACTAAACAGAAGGAGAGCTATGAGCTATAACTTTCCCGATATACCTCTCTATATCCTGCTTCAAAGTGAAGATAGTCCAGATGTACACCTTCAGCAATCGAAAATAAAGTGGTTTTCACCATAATAAACCTACATCGTCCAATTAATATCATCCAAACTGCAATTGACCCCCTTTTAGCAGCATCTTGAAATATTCTGTTCATCTGTCTACTATACATTCATTTAGCTATATAATGGATACTGGTCCTTTTTATCTTTTCCGAGGTTTTGGCACTTCCTTTCTCGTCCGCTTAATGTATTTTTCCAATTTTCTGGTCCAATTTCCCGTTTTTTTCTCATTTTGAGACCAAATCCAAACAATCAGTTTTGGTTTATAGAAGAACTTATAGCGTCACCCTTTCTATCTTTCTTTGTGCATAGAGAATAATTCATTCAATATTAAAATTTCCTATTTATTTATGATATAGTCCAACTTCTGCACAAAATAAAGGAAATAAAAATTAATTTTTTAATTAGTGATGTATGAGTTTTACTAAACAACCCGGTAGCTATTCATTATTTATAGTTCAGATTAGGTATATATTATTTTAGTTTATAAAACAGGTATTAATATGACTCATTTCCTTGGAAGAATATAAAAATTTTAATTACCTCTAAGAATCAGTAAATATACAAAACAGTGTTAAATTGCAAATGTTAAATAAAAAAAAAATCAAGATATTTAGCAAAGTATTTTTTAATTAAGTTTTATAATTATAATTATAATTATATCATTTTTACAGTTGAGGTCTTCTTAAACGACCTACGTATAGAATAAAGGAGGTTAAATTAAAAAAAAATAATAATAAATTTTTTTAAAAATTTTTAATTTTTTTTTTGTTTACAATTAAATTATTGCATTAATATTTTTTCGTTAATAAAACCAATATAATGTACCAAAAATGTTATTATATCACTATAACTAAGCCATTTATGTGGACTGAATGGTGTGGTAGAGGCCTGTAGGAACCCACGCCAATACCGCTTTTCTGCCGCATAAGTGCATTTTCTACGGAACTGCCTAAATTTTTTTAAAAAATAATCAGTGTTTTAGAAAGACAAATATATTCTCCAGATGTTTTATTTCAGCACGTTTTGAGTTATTGTGGGCCGTTTAATTACAAACGACGCTAGATTTGTAACTTGAAAATTTTTTTGTTAAAAAAATTGACTTTATTTACTGGTGTTTTTCATAGCCTAAGCCAATTATTTTTTAATATTTCTTCATGTTTTCTTATTCTATGACTATTCAGCTTTAATAAAAGACCAACTATGAGGAAATTAAGCCAAATGCTTATTCTCAGTGACCAAAAAACTAACTACAGTCAAAGTCGTCAATCCGCCATCTTTGGACGCCATTTTGGGGCAGTGCGTTCACTTTTTTTTGTGGGAACATTGGCTTTTTTTTAATAAATAGTTACAAGGAACACAACGATATGCAATTTATAGGGATGTGGGGGGAGGTGCATGGTAAGGGGGTCTGGCCCAGACTAATTCACCGGTCTATGAAATCTTCCTGTCGTGTTCCATTGTTATTTGGGTTGTTTTGTTTACTTTCCAATCTACTCTTCCACGAGCATTTCGCACTTCGCAATTTATAATTGACGCCAATTTTGTTTATTTTTTTCTTTCTGTTTGTTTTATTTATATATATGTTCAAAGTTCAGTATTTTTGCTGTCTCGCACTTTATTTTTAATTACCTATTATTATGTAAATATTTAATGTAATGTACCTACAGCCATACTGTCATGTTTTATTTATTTTTTATCTGTAATTTGTTGTACAGGGTCATCAGTCCCAGGATAATAAAATTATATTTCATTCCATTTACAATTTAAATATATAGACCAAAATCTTTTTTTTTTCTCTATTATTTATTATGTATTAATGTGTAAAAAAAATACATCCAGTAAATTTGTACAATGGATATAATGACATGAAACGCATGTCGAGAAACTATCCACTGGTAGCACTGACCAAAATCTAATATGTAAAATTAAAAAAAAAAAATATTTCCGTCCAATTTAAATTTCCTTCGTATTTATAAGATTCATGACTTTTTATTTGTATATATTTGAACCAGGACTTTTAATTTCAATCAGATAAAAAAAACTGTTTTTGCCTGAATAACCATAAGGTTTGAGAATGTTTGTTACTGGTTACTGGTTACTGTTTTTGTCAATAAACTGTTCTTTTTTAATTTAAAGAAAAAAAAGAAGATAAAAAGAATCAATTGAAGAATTGAGTTTCCCATCTCTAGCATAAATTATTTGTATTTTAATTATTTTTTAAATAAAAACCCAAATTGTCCAACACTTTATTTATTAAAACCTTCAGTGGTCACTGGGCTACTTATTATATTATTACTTTCTTATCGTGGTCAGTAATGCTGACTATTGAATTGCATGCTTTTCCACAATTATTTTTTTATTATTAATATGCCCGATTCTACTTTTTGTTAGTAATTTACTTATTGAGGGATATTGCGTTTCTTAATTTTTCTTTTTCTATCCATTTTTGATCAAATAATACGAAGACTAAAATTTGTTATGCTTTACACTTCTTTCACATGAGGGGCAAGAACTGAACCGATTATTTCTGACTAGCAAACATAACGAAAAAGTGAGACAGCTTAATGACTTTCAGGGAAATAATATTTCTTGAATTTTGGCTAGAAAGGCGAGGGGAAGACGTTCCGAGTGTTCACATAACCAAAATATCATTCAATAAACCATTGTCAAGACAGTTAATATAAGTACAAGGAAGATAAATTATTACTAAGACAGTTAATATAAGTACAAGGAAGATAAATAATTACTAAGTTCAAGGGAACCACAAATTGCAATCGAAATTCCTCATAAAATCTTATGTTGCGATGGGGAATGGAAGGTTATTTATAATATGCCTTTCTAGTTTATTGTAATGAAGTTATCTCATTAGGGATGAGATAGGACCATTAAAATAATACGAACGGTGTTGCGGCCAACATGTAGTTATTTGTTTTAATTTTATTTTTCTTGTCACCGTAATAATAATAATAATTTCTTGTCACCATAATATGGGGGGTTATTTTTACATAGTGTATTTAATTTTAATTTCATATTTAGTTTTAATATCATTGCATGAAAGCATTTATATTTATTATGTGTATCACATCATATATATTTTGTACATTTCGATATACCCTAGGGATGTGTTTGGCCAGTTATGGCACAGATTGCCTAAAAAGAAGACAGTATGGCGCTGCATATAGGACTGACTGTATGAGGGCCTTCATCTCATTACCATTCCAGTTGTGCAGGTGAAATAAAAAAAAATTATTTTTCGTAATTTAGATACCTCACATTGAGGTTGAACTTTCACTTATATAGTACTTCTTGCTAACTTCTACAAGTGCTCTCATAGTGCAGTAGCTAGCGTACAATTCTCTAAAAGGTGAAGGTTCTCGGTTTAGAATCTGGTTCCACCGTATTTCTTTTTTCCCCCTTTTATAACATAAAGCTGCATTTCAAATTTATATACATGTTTGTACTATTATTGAAATAACGTTAAATTAATTTCATTTTATTAATTTATAATAATTAAAACATCCATTGAATTCACAAGAATTGTAAATTTAATTTCCAAGGTTTCTTTTGTATATGTTTAATGCTTTAAGATAATTTTGTTTCTTTCATTATTTTATTATTATTATTTTGGTATTAAGAGAAACATTTTTTATTCAATCATTTGTTACAGGATGTATTATTTAATTTATTATTTTTTTCAATACATATCTGCTATTCGGCATTTATTTATCCACATGGATTTTTCTCATTTAACATATTTAAAATAAATTAATTAACAAGGCACCAGCTGCCTATGCATAAGGTTAAGCAGACCTGGCTGTTTACATTTGAACGCCCACTGCCGCCACGAATGGTATTTACTAAATCAACGGTAGGCAATAAAACCTCATAAATCTTTCAAGCTATTTGAACCTTAAAACTCCAGTATCTAAGTTCTATATACAAATAAAGTACATATATTTAATCTATCAGTTAGTAACAATTGTACTATATAGTAAAAATTATAGGAATTAAATCTCTACCACTTTTTACATGTATTTAAACTGTTTTTTTTCCCTGTAAAAAT